TGGAGCTGAGGAGCAGCCAAGCCACAGCACAAGCCCCTCACTGCCACGTGGCACTGAGTGGACCCTCTTATCCAGGCAACGAGGAAGGGCGCTTTCAGCTGCAGGGGAACACCCTCTTCTGCCTCTCTGATGACCTGCCTGAGACCCGTACCTTCGTGCTGCTGGTGGAGGTGTGGGGCCGCCCCAGTGTCCCCCGCCGCAGCACCATGGTGGCACTGGTGGTGCACATCACCCCCTGGAGCACCACGGTGCCACCCAGCACTACCACCCGGCACACGGTGAGCGCAGTCCACCATGAGATGCTCTCCGGGATCTGGCAGGCCCCCTGCCCTTGCCTGCTCCCTCACCGCCCCTTCTGCAGACCCTGTGGAAGGAGCCACTGGTGGTCACTCGTACGGACGTGGCGTGGCACCCACCAGCCTGGTTTGTGGTCATGCTGACCATCTCTGCTGCCCTGCTGCTGGCCACCCTGGGGTGCCTGGCCCAGAGCCTGCTGCTCAAGTGAGCCCCAGCCCCATGGCATGACATGGCATGGCACAATGGGCAAGGCCAGGGGCTCACAGCTGCCTTCTGTTCCTCCTGCAGCAACAGAGACCCTGGCAAGCTGCTCCTGAGCAAGAGGTGGGTGCTGCATGGCTGTTGCCAGGGCAAGGAGCAGCCATGCACATTGGCACAGGCTCCCATAGCATCCTAACAGGCAGCTGGGGAGACACAGCAAGTACCCCGTGTCTGGCTGTGGGTCACTGTACAGGGCAGCTCGCTCTGCCCCAGGGCAAGGGTGCAGCACTGAGAGGAGCCATGGGTGCAGAGATGGCGATTTGCCAGGGGAGAGCTGTGTCAGTGGCTGGGCTGGGGCAGCAGCTCTGCGGTGGGCAGGGTGGGATGGCACAGTGCTGCTGCAGGGCCGGGTCCTGGTACCGGGGCCGGGAGCCCTGATTTGCCGGGAAAGGCACCTCGGGAGGAGGCGAGCAGGCTGCGCACAACCCCCGGGAGGATGATCCGGCGGTGAGAGGCAGGGGGAGAGCCCAAGGGAGCGCTGGGGCCAGGCCAGACTGGG